GAGCCCCAGGGGCTGCCCGCGCCGGTCCCCGAGGAAAGCCGGCCGCGCCGGCCCAGCGCGGGGAGGGAGGGGAGGCGGTCACCGGGGTGGCTGACGACCCGGGCTTGTTCACCTAGCGCCGGCCAGGTACGGGCCCTGGACATGTTGCCAGCTGCGCCGCGGTGCTGCCCTCAGGGAGGCGATGTTTCCCTCCTCTGCCATGCACGGGCGCCGAATGGTTAACAGGGTTCACCATCTGCTCCTGTCCCGGGCTCAGATTGGTTTTTTGGGGTTTTTTTTTTGGTATCGGGAATCGAACTCAGGACCCCTCGCTTGCCGGTCAGGCGCTGTGCGTGCGAGCTACATCCTTCCTGTCTCAGATTTGAATGAAAAAGTAGGAATCGGATTCTTAACGACTTTCGGGGAGCGCAGCACCCCTGAGACCTCACAAGTTCGAAATCTCACAGCTGTGAGCCGCGCAGCTGTTATCTGCAGCTGTGGTCTGGGGCTGCGCACTTGGACAAGTCGTGCAGCTTCTCTGGGCCTAAGTTTCCTCATCTGTAAGCTAGATGTTCGAATTGGACGAGGTTACATCTGAACCTTTAACACCTCACCCCACTTGTGGGGTCCGGACTTGGTGTGCCCTGTGTAGAGCTTGAATGAGGTGTGGAGGATGTGACCGTCCCTGTCACCCCAGGCACACACTTGAGTCACCAAGGAGTGCAGGTTGCTTTACCTTTAGGTTTATCTGGAAGAAATACGGGGGCTGAGTGGTAAATTTCACATTATTTGAAGGGGACTGAAAAATTCCTAAAACTCTGGCTTATATCAAAAGTGGCATGGGGATGGAATTTTTAATGGAATGTGGAAGAGGCACTATTGTGAGCAAAAGATCCTCACACAAATTTGAGTTCTCCCGTTTAATAAAATCTGTTTTCTTCTTAGCAGTTTTCTTACATTGCAATACTAGAATGTTCAACTGTCTCCAATTTTACTCCAGACTCTTAAAAACTGACTTGTATTTTGCTAATAAATATTAAATTTGGCACCCTTAGTTTTCTTAAGTTGTGTTTCACATCGTTAAAGGAAGAAATTAGCAGGCCTTGATTTGGTTCAGTTTTGTTTATAAGGATAAGATTTATGATTTGCAGATTCCAGAACCAGTACTTCATGAGTCAGTTTCATTTCACCTATATATACACACACGCATACACTTTTAAACAATTACTTTTAAAGTCTGGTGGTTTTTAACTGGGGTTTAGAAAACTAATAGATTTCATATTTTTATGGGGACTTGAAGTTTTAAAATGGTTGAACCAAGGATTATTTTGAATCTATATTTACTTGGTTGGAATTAAGTTTTCAAAGATGTTAAAGGTAGAATAACTATAATGAAGATGAAAATTCAAGTTCCATTGCATTTTAATTTTCCGTATAAATAGTTTCAAGCTTTTTCTAACATAATTGGTAAACTCTGAAAATATTTTTCAAAATACCTTAATGTGAGACAATGTACGAGGATGGGATTGTTTACAACTTCCCTTTTGGTTATTGTAAAAACCCTTCAGGTTGGTAGCTTTACAAGCAAATGAAGGATTTCAGTTTAAGAATGGTTTTCAATAACAAATATATTTTAAACTTTATTTTTGTTTTTTATTTGGCATAATCACTCTTCCTAAATTCTCAAAAATAAGAAATGGCTTTGTGGAAAGCGTTGTCTGAATAGTTCAGAGGTGAAAAATATGACTTTCGGATACCTAAAAAGAGATTCTTGTTGATGATAGTGTCTGAAGGATTAAACCTTTCCTAAAATCACAGTAATAGCATGCTTACTTTGCCAAGGTCAAGCACTAGAAATCATTAGACCCAGAATTTGATCTTTGGTCTGCTTGATTCCCCTCTCCCCTTCCCCTAAAGCACATTTTCACCTCTAGGCCACTTCCTTTAATATCTTATTTTTAACAAATGGTTTACACACAATACTAACCACAGTTTGGATTCATTACCTTCTCTTTTGACTTAACCTGCTATGGTGATGACTCATTATTGTCTGATATATTCAACACAGTTGCTACATGGGTGCCATTTCTGTTTGCAGTTCTTCCGTTATCAACATGACTTTTTATAGAGTTTAGTTTTTAACTCTGTCTTTCTCATCAGTGGTGGCACCTGTTGATGCTGTTGTAAAAAGTGCCCATTTCTTATTCTTTTTCATCAGTATTTATTGAGCATCTGCTTCCGACCGGCAGGATTCTGAAACCTGGAAATACCATCCTCAGGGAATAAGACAGACCTGGTCTCTACCCCATTGAATTAACACATGGAAATGTGTTATAAGCGAGGGGAGAAGAAACATATTTTAAATCTGTGTACTTGGAAAATTGCTGAATTTGTCATTTTATTTTGAGACCTTTGCACGTGTTTTTTGTGCTGATTTGTTCTTACTTTTCTCTCTCTACCTCGTTGTAGACTAACACTTGGGCCGCCTTCATTCTACAGCCATCACGACCCATCATGACCCAGCTTTGGGAATTAGTTGAAGGTGCAGTGTAGGGTACACTCTTTGAAATCAGGCCAGCATGGGTTCCAAACCCACCTACCATTGGCTGGCTACGTAGCCTGTTGTCAGCACTCTACTTTATATTCCTCAGTGCTCACATCTGTAAAGTGGGGATTATGGAGTCACAATAAAGGTTAGACACTGCTTTCAGATACTTAACATAGTGTGTGTACTCTGGCAAGTGCTTGATAAGTATTAGCTTCCACTATTAAGAACTCCTTAATCAGGCCTAACAAGGGCTGTGAAGACCTGGTTCCCAGATGATCCTCAGCTCTGTACCCCAAGACCTACACTTCCTCAGTCCACTGAGAGGACCATGTGTAAACACATGCAGCAGTTGAGGCAGCTGTGTCTTTGTTCAAATTGTTACTTCTGTCCTGAACTCCTGCTCTCAGACTCATTCTGTCATCTTTTAAGGCTTAATGTGTTGCCTTTTAAAGAAATCTGCTTTGAATGCCCACAGTTGAGCTAAGTGCGCCTGTGTGCAGTCCTCTCTCCTTAGGACAAAATCGAGCTGAGATTGTATCCTTATGGGACTCCCTTGTCCCTTAGACTTTTCGGCCCCTCAAAGGCCAAGGGGGATCTGACTCTGCTCTGCCTCCAGCATCTCCCCGAGCTAGTGCGTGGTGTGGCAGCTTGGAAACATGGAGCTGAGCCCCTGTTGCTGGGTATAGTAGCTTGAGCATTTAACAGTCAGGCAGTCACTGTTTATCAGGTGTTTGGTCTTAGTGGCAAAATCTTTGCATTCAGTTAGGTTAGTTTTAGCTCTGATCAATTTGAGCAACAATTTTGCTGTTTTTATGCTACATAATTTGTTCTAGTATTCTGATAAAATAATGAAAAAGCGATTTCAGCTTCTGACACACAGTGAAAACCTGCTAGGAGTTTTCATCTAACCCCTTTAGCTATACATTTTAAACTGGTTTAGAATGTTCAAAGCCATTATAAAACTTTTACAGTGCTTTCACCAACAAAATTATCCAGTAAACACTGAATTCTCTTGTTTTCTAGAAGATTGTCAAGAAGAGACTGTCATTAGAAGTGTAGCTCCGAACCTAAGTTATGGCTTTTTCTTCATCAGGCTTTTGTATTTTGGTTGATAAACAGTGAAGCAGAGTTGGTCTGAAGGAAGTGTGGTCTCATAGCAGCCTCTATCTGCTGTAGAGCAGCTTGGATATTATTTAAGTCTGATGCAAGCCACCAAAACACTTTAAAATAAGATACAGGGAAACACACTTCCTGGGTACAACAGTATTATTTAGTCAAGTTCCACATAAAAGCACAGCTCTACCACCTTGTTAGCTTCTGCCCTGCAGGTCCTTGTGTACAGTTTCAGCAGATTTAAATTATGATTTTCAGCAGAAATGTCTGAGTGGGCATGTGTTAGCAGCAAAAGTGCTTACCTCTTATTTTACACTCCCTCCTTTCCTTGTAATATTTTGCTCCCCAGGTACTTGTTGCCCTCTGACTGAAGCAAGATAATGATGATTATGCTTCTTGTGGGGGGTATCAGAAGGGTTTGGAGTGCTGCATAGGCAAAAGGGCTCATCTCAAGGAGAAGTGAGGGGAATGGAGAAGTTTGTTTGAGAGCTCCGCGTGAGGCAGCCATTTGACATTACCTAGTTACTGTACTCTTATGACAAACCTTAGAGCTAAGGTTTTTATCTTTATTTTATAAATGCAAAGGTAGGCTACTTAAGGTCATGGGGGGGGTTGGGTGTATGTTTCCTAAGCTTGTTGTACTTGAAGTCCGCTGGGCTCTTTTTCATGTTCTGTGTGTGTGCATGCACGTGTATGTGTGTGTGCACACACGCATGTGCGTGTGTGCGCACACGCGCACTGGGAGCAAAAGTAGGAAGGAGTAAAGAAATACCCCATTTGAGAAAAGGGAAGGCTCGTATCTAATACGATCAGTTCAGCACTCCGGATTAATGGGTTTGCTCTGTTTGTGTGACCTGCCTCTTCCTGGCTGTCCTTACACCACAGAAAATCAAGATAGCAGAGACTTGGTGAGCCAAGGAGTTTGCAGTCTGATAAAGGCATGCTGGTGGTGGGAGCCACTGTGAGCGACCTCAGCTTTGGCCATTTTATAGCCGTTGTACAGGCATCGTTTTCAACTGTAAACCGCAAGCCTCTGGACCATCAATTGTGCACAGTTCTCAAACAACTCCTGAGAGGGCAGGAACGGCAGATTTTATCCAGCATAATGAAGAGGGAGATAATTTGACTTTTAAGATTCTAGATTGGAAGACTTGTAGATGGTAAAGCTTTTTCTTCTCACCTAGGATTCCTTCTGCCTTTTACTGGCCACCATCAGCCTTTTACACTTGGGCACACAACTGGGGCAGCTTTCTCTTTGGGCATAGTTAGCTTGTGACCTCCTGCTTATGCTCTTAAAGGTTCCCTAGCATTGTGTTTTGTTTCTAGGGTCAGAGCTATAAATCATCAGAAGGGATTTAGCTGCAGGGCAAGTGCCTATGACGGGTGGGATTCTATCTGGGAAAGAGCAAGATGTCCAGCTCTTTTTCTCTTTTCCTCTCTGTTTTCTGATGGTGTGTTTTCCTCCAAATATTTTCGGCCTACAGTT